CGTCCAGTCGAGAGTGGGGCCGAAGCGGTCTAGAGGGCCACATTCGTCAGCCACTGACCGGGCGAAGATTTTCTCATCGGTACAGGGCTTCGTCACCCCAAGCCCTTGGGCTGCGAGTCCGAGACAAATTGCGCACAATGCCTTTCGAAGCTGAGGCATGGGAAGCGATGTGAAGCGAGCTCAATGGCATGAATCGCATCCACTTTGGGTGCCAGGAAGTTAAGTCAGGAAGAGCTGACGAGGCCCCGGATCGTCCATGCCGGCCATTTGCCGCCATCGGCACATGTCTAAGGTTCCTCCAATAATCATGTCAAGAACAATTAGGCGGGCTGTGATCAAGTGCATGCGCTACGTTCATGGTTGTGATGCATGCAGCACACACACACACACACACATCACACGTCGTGTTTCTTGCAACTTCCAGCAGCATACAATAATGGCATGCTCAAGCCCGGGGATCTTCGTCATCATGCTTCGTGGATGTGCCCGCGCACGTGCTGGTCAATGCAACGCCCATCAGCTGACCGGCGCCTGCTCACAGGCGAAGCTACGAGCACCTTGCAGCGATAGCGGCCGATAGCGGACAAACGGCACCCAGCAATGTGACCGCCAGCGCAGCATCCTGTACTTCTACTTGTTCTTGCTTCAGTGCATGCCCCACCGGGCCCCCACCCTTTCCCTGCCTTCTGCGCACGGGGCCAGCCCTGAAGCTTCTCCAGCGCCTCGACGGCGGAAATGCCCGGATCCAGGGCCGGGTGGGCCACGTGGCGAAGCGACGTGTAGACATCCTGGTCCGCAAGATGCCACAAGGCTACACTCATACCCTGTCATACCCCATGCTGTCATCCAAAAGGCATGTGCGCTTTCGTTCGGAGCTGTCACACCCTGCGGCAAGTGAGGAGACCACAAACCACGTGAGGATGCGCTCTGGGACTTCGTATAACTCGAAGATCTCGCGGGTGAAGTTCGCGTGGGCATCCAGGAACACCTGGCATGTTGCTCACTTGATTTGGGCCGCTGTGTCCGCTGTGTGATGACTATAGTCCTGAGGTTACAAGCACCATGGCCTCCCAATCTTCAGCGGTCTCCGCTGTGCGCAAGCCCGCCAGGGACTCCTGAAGACTTGGCCTCTGGGACCTCCGGCAAGGCTCCGACACTGCCCAGCTCCTTGTAGGAAAGGGCGACGATGGCAGACCGTGACTTGAAGAAGTGAAGAAAAGGGCTGCGTTGCCTTAGAGAGCTTCGACAGGGAGGGGTGTGACTCAGAGGCTGCAGCTACATGGCCTACGTCTTAGCCGCCCACTCGCATAGGAAGAACAAGTCAAGCCTCCCGTGGTCTGAGCCCACCTCAGCTAACACAACCAGCGGATGGCGCAAGAGTGTGAAAACTAAGTTGCGGCTTTAAACGGCTCCTTCCTGTAGCACCAAAGCAAGTCACGTTTCAGTCAGCCAAGTTGCCAAAACTATGTCACCATTGGGCGAGTCGGTTGCGAAGACCTGTAGCAGCATGCGGAGCACAAGCTTAGCATCATCTCGTCCACAGCCCTTGTCTGGACGAAGCAAGGCGTGGCCATCGTGGAAACAACAAAGCACCACATGGCATCATGGTAGCCGCTACTTGAACCAGAGCACCTTGGCCAAATGAGATGCCACTGTTCGGTCAAGCAGCGGCAGGCTCTGAGCCTCAGTGATGAGCTGCCCGAGCTGCAACCGCGAAAGTACATTAACTTCACAGAACGACCTGCCATTGCCTACCAGTAAGTGCACTCGAAAGCCACATGGGAAAACAGCATTCTGCATAGCAGCGCAGACAGCAGGCAGGGACAGTGCCTCTTATTCAGCTTCGCAGAGCAGGCTTCGGATAGCGTTTAGTCTTCAACGTGCTCGGAGGGTTGGGCTGTACAAAGCTCTGAGCATCATAGCAGGCAGAGGGAGGATGCGCAACGCAAGCTTTTGGGTTCAATCACCCCAAAACTACGTGAGAAGAACATTGTGTGCAATTAGCATCAATGCGTGCACGCTCTCTCTTGCGACATTGAACTTTCAATTCAAACGCTGAGGCACGCTTAGGAACAAGCTGCCGCAAAGCAGCTGAGATCGGGGAGAAGACGACTTCAATAGGAACGCTAAGCGTGTTAGAGCTGATGCTTTATTTCCGCCTCTCATCCTGCTCAAGTGGCCAAGTGCCCACAGATCCCGACCCAAGGGGGTGTCTGATTCAAGGTATATTCATGACATGACTTCAAGTCCTGAACACTACCTGCAGTCGGGCCCATGAACTCAGCCCCATCCGAGCAGATCCGATCAATGCCTGGCCTCAGATGGATTTAGGTATTGAGGTGGCAGGCTCCATGTGATATGATATCTGCTGGCCAATAGCCCAAACTCAGCGATCAACTGTTGTCAACTGCAACTGTACCTGCCGCCCTGGTAGGAAACTGCGCCGGCTCCACTGTACTCTGTACCCGACACTACGACACGTCGAACATTTACCCAATTCTGAATCTGTCAGGCCCCAAGATTTGAATGCCACAGATGTCAGAACCGGGCACAAGTCGATGAAGGGCACACAGCAATAGATTCCTACGTCCTGTGATCAGGGCACCGGCCTGAGGCACAGTCGGACACGGCCAGCACCGGCGAGCCCGCAAACATCCGCAAACAGATGCAGCAAATGAAGTGACACTAAAGTGGCTGCAGTAGAAGTAGCAGCTGCTCGTACTGCTTCTTAATCATTATTTCTGAAGAAGGCAAAACCAAATGAGGGCGAATTACTGAGGCTGGCTCACCGGCTCTGACTCGGTGATGCGGTGAGATTTGTACAAGTGCCAAAAGACAGAATGGATCAGACTGGTCAGCTCCAAAGGAAACCACCCTTTTCCCTTTTCTGCGATTGCAAGTCTGATTTGCAGGTTCTGGAGCTGGCAGCCTGTGGCATCAATAGTGCCCTCCAAGAACTCAAGCATTGAGCAGGTCAGACAGCACTCGTCGTCTTCAAAGGGTTTATTTAACCTGCTGCAGCTCCAGTCTCGAGTGATGTGGGTTTCACCTTAGGAAGGGTGAACCTCTTCATGCTGCACAGTCACATGTTCAGAGGCGCTTACCCACGGATGCGCGTTGACCATGACACTTTGTCATCCTCTCCAAGTGATCTGGCAAGTGACTGCTCGAGGCCCTTGAAGGGATCCTCTTTGTCTCCCTTGCCGCACTGCTCGTGCATTCTCTTGGCGTCCTCCTACGAGCGGCACACTGATGGCAATTGCCATGACGTTGACGCTCGGAGAACCACCACAGGCGCACACGCACACACGCACACACGCACACACGCACACACGCACACACGCACAGACGCACAGACGCACACACGCACAGACGCACAGACGCACAGACGCACAGACGCACAGACGCACACACGCACACGCGCACACGCGCACACACACACACACACACACACACACACACACACACACACACACACACACACACACACACACACACACACACACACGCACACACGCACAGACGCACAGACGCACACACACACACACACTTACTTGAGTTGGAGTCAAGTTGACAAGAAAATGTGCAGAACGGAGCGGAACATCTCAAAGCAGGTACGTAGGGGTGGCGTCCCACCCCTATATCACGGGTCAGGATGGGGGTCTTCATTGGCACCTGCCCCATTCCTTTCCCCAGGTGCCCCCTGCTGAGAAGAACTTGCGAATCGGAAAACACGCGTTCAAAATTTGGAACACGCACCGAAGCTTGTCACAACACGGCATTGATCAAACATCTGCTTCCCTTGGTCCCAGGGCATCCCACACACACACACACACACACACACACACACACACACACACACACACACACACACACACACACACACACACACACACACACACACACACACACACACACACACACACACACACACACACACACACACGCACACACCCACACACACACACACACACACACCCACACACACACACACACACACACACACACACACACACACACACACACACACACACACACACACACACACACACACACACACACACACACACACACACACACACACGCGCGCGCACGCACAGAGACACACATAGAGACACACACAGAGACGGACACACAGACACACAGACACACGCAGACACACTGACACACAGACACACGCAGACACACTGACACGCAGACATGCAGGCACAGAGACTGCGGCACTCAAGCCATGTCCTGCACGGCGCGCATCATCTGCCTTGGCAACCGACAGGTTGTTTGCGCAACCAAGATTTCTGGTCGAGCTACATCGTCGTGCGGGGGAAGTCGCTCGCGCTGCTGCTCAGGTGTTAGAGCGGCGACCTGTGCAATGGCAGCAGAAACCATCGCAAATCCTTTTTTGAATATGAATACTGCCTGAATGATTCTGAATACGAATACTGACAGCCCAAGTCCTGGGCTGTACTCTGTGTTGGGGCAGCAAAAGCTGCAGCTACTTTGTCGGGCAGCTGGACCCCAGCTGTGCCATCCGAATGACCTGCGGTTTGTTTCTGATTCTCGCACAGGACGTCTTGGAACTACAAGCACGGCCTGGGCAATCCCTAAACCCAAGCCCTAAGCCCTAAGCCCTAAACCCTAAACCCTAAACCCTAAACCTTTTCCTGCCAAGCGGCTGACAGGTCCCGAAGCACCAGTCAAGGGATCGAAGCTGCTGAGTAAGTCCTCAACCCAGACACCCCAAAAGACCTATCCGACATCCAACAAACTGGTATAATAGTATTATAGTACAATAGTATAATGGTATAATAGTATAATAGTATAATAGTATAATAGTATGATGGTAGAATAGTATGATAGTATAATGGTGTAATAGTATAACAGTATAATAGTATAATTGTATAATCATACAATTAATAGTACCATACAGCACCCGAATGAAAAGTGCCTCTTTTGCGCCAGGGTTTCTACGCTGCTGCGCAGCACAAGCAGCGCCAAGCGCTTCAGGAGAGACTCAAGTCCCCAAACGGGATCCGGGATGCAAATGCTCCTAAATCAAACAATAGCTCTGCAGTAAGCCGCCGCTGGTCAGCAATTTCACAGGCACTGATCGCGGCACTGATGCCAGTCGCATCCCTTTGCACTGTCGCCAACTCCATGCCTTCAAGAAGGGCCAAGGATTGTTGCCACTCAGTGCACACGGAGCAAGCCCCAATACCGCTGTTGTAGACCATATGGTTGGCCGGCACCCGGTTTTCGCCGAGCTGGGAAAGAAGCCCCAAAGCTTGTCTCCATTCCTTGCCCCTTTCGCAAGCGGAGATGGCTGCGCTGTAGGTGACAACGCTGTACAAATCTTCCGCCTGAAACTCAGCGAAAAGCAGGAGGGCAGCTTGCCAGCGCCCTCCCTTGTCACAGGCACTGATAGCAGCCGAGGCTGTAACAACCGTGCGTCGCACCCGCTGTGCCGTAAGCTCACGGAGTAAACATAAGGCCCGCTCCCAGCAACCGGCCTTCTCACATGCGCTAATAGCTGCATTGTATGACAGTGCGGTCGGGCGCATGAGGTGAGCGGCGAGGCTTTCAAGCAGTGCCACGCCTTGCTGCCAACGGGCACTTTTCTCGCATGCACTGATTGCTGCATTGAAACTGGTCAAATCAGCCTGCCACAAGCGTTCATGACGGTGGCACTACAAACTACACGAAAAAAACCGCCCTAGCTCACCCTGAGCCTACCAGATTCACACGTGCCATGTCCAAAAGCAAGAACCAAAAGTGGCCAGAAATGGAACAACTCCCAGGCTATGTGCTCTGAAACTCTACTCCAAAAGCCTAAGCTTGAAAGTAAAACGATCAAAATCAGCCTCCAGCTCCAAGACATGCAGCTGCGAGAGCAACGCCAAAGCTTCTTGCCATCTTCGGCCTTTCTCGAAGGCGCTGATCACGGCATTCAGGGATATGATGTCTGACTCCAGGCTCTCTGCCACCGCCTGATGAAACACCGCCAGTGCCTTCTGCCACTGCGTGGCCTTACCACAAGCACTGATCGTAGCGTTAACGGTGATCACATTGATTTGCAACTTCTGTCGTTTCATGCCATGTAATAGACACACCGCTTCGCGCCATCTTCCCACCGTCTCGCAGCACTTGATAGCTGCCCCATACGTGATGAGGCTAGGTCTGAGTCGATGCTGCTGGAGGTCGCCAAGGATGTGCAGGCCTAGTTGCCACTGCTCGCCCTTGTCGGCTGCCAAGATTGCTGCAGACTTGAGCGCCACTGTCTGCGAATCATCTTCTACCTCTGCGCCTGTCAGAATCGAAACTGCATGCTGCCACTGCCTGCGCTCTCCCAAAAACGCACCTGCGGTGTGTAGAATTCCCGTGCGCTGACCCAGGCCATCTTGCAAGATACTTTGCTGCAGCGCAAAGACCACCATCAGCTGTTCCCATTTCTTGCCGATCTCCCAGGCAGTAACAACTGCTTCAACTTTACAAGCATCAAAATCAGGAACTCCTCCTTGCCACTCCAGCTGCGATATCATGCACAGCATTTGCCGCCACTTCTTCTGCCCTTGCGCTGCCGCAATTGCTGACTTGTACAGCACACAATCGGCCTGCAGCTTTTCGTCCACCAGGTGATGAAGCATTTGCAAGGCAAGCTGCCACTTCCCGGCTTCGCTGCATGCCTCAATAGCTGAACTGTAGGCCACAACATCCAGCTGTAGCCGGACAAGAGACATATGCCGTAACAAAAGAAGGGCCTGCTGCCACTGCGAAGCTGATTGGCATGAGCTAAGAGCGCTGGAGTAGATGACAATGTCCAGCTGCATGTGGCTTGACTGCGCGCTGCAGAGCAAGGAGATTGCCTGCTGCCACTGGCCACCTCGTCTGCATGCATTGATGGCAGTGCTACATAGTATCAGGTCTGCCACCAATCGCGTGTCTGTCAGGTCATCCATGAGTTGCAGAGCAGCTGCCCAGTGATGCCCCCGTGCACATGCAGTCAAAGCCATGCTGTAAAGTTTCACATCTGCCTGCTTTTCGTCCCGCAGCCTTTGAAGTACGGACACCGCCTCTTGCCACGTAGCGAGCCTTGCACAAGCTTTCAGCCTGCTCATATACCGTCCAACCGAGCCACATTGCTTACTCGAGCGCTTCGCCATGTACGTCCTGCCCTCCCCAGCCGGCAGTCAAATCTAGCATCTCTCCGTGACAGCCAGCTGCTCCTGCGCAAGGCTCGCCTGTACAAGGAGGCCGAGCCTATGCAATAAAACTTCACGTCATTGAGGCAAGTCACCTCTGAGACAGGTGAGCCATGAGCAACACCTGTCTCTACGGACTACAGGCTACAACCAATTTCTGGATCCACAAAAGCTGGCGTCAATGGCGTCTAGCGAGTACCTAATGGACCCGAACAAGCTCTTGGGCCACCTGCAGACAGAGGCCACAGTCAAATGCATGTTGGCCCTGTCCTCAGCCTCGCGCTGCGTCGCCTTGTCTCCATGGACTGGGCTTTTCGGATCGAAGCACATGAGGTCCTTGGTCCGACTTGGTCCCTGCCCTATGCCCTACATGTGCACGGTACCTGCAAAAGCATGTCGCAGCGTGGAGCCGAGAGCCCTACCTGGGCCATGGCTACCACCAGACTACAGGCGAAGGGACTTCTGCTTTTGACAGCTGACGCGGCTGCTGCGAATTCGGCATGCTAAACATGCTAAACGCGAAAGCTCTCTCCGTACCTTTCCTCCGCATACAACCTGGCAAGGATTCGCGGTGAGGTCGGCACGTCTTGCGTGGTGTGCCTGGGCATAAAGTCTCCAAGCCTGTAACAGCCCTTGAAAGTCTGGCACCATCTTAGGAGAATTGAGAGCATGGCCACCCATAAAGCTTGGTGAAGACGAAGTTTGGTGTCTTTCGACGGCTTCGCAAAGATGCCTCAATGTGCCAAGTCCCATCCATGGTGCTTTGAATGAGCTCTGCCTGTTTGTCGGCTGGACACGCTACAAAAGTAGGTGTGCCAAGCGACCAGCGAGAACTCCAAGACTTCTTCGGAAAGAAGCCTGCTGCCAGCACACCTTGCACGAGGAGCACCAGAGTCACTCGTCACTAGCTGCTTATTTGGAGCTTCATTGGGTGCCTATAAATGGGGTTCAAAGCACCCCAAGCAAGGTCATAACTCCAAGTATGTGTTATGTGATGATTGTGATGTTTCCTCAGGGGGCCAGGCAGGCCTGGGGCACAGAGTCGAGGCCTGCCGCCGAAGGCGTGCACAAGGCGAATGCCTGGCCATCTGCCAGAAGGTCGATCACCCTTTTTTGGATTGAGTTACCTGGGAAGTGGGGGGCTTTCTATAACTATGGTGCAGATTCTGCATTTCTTTTATGCTGAGCCGGTGCTCAACAAGAAGCGCGGATAAAGGATACCGCGAATCGTTCGCGGGCCAGCCGTGGATCTAGACTGGGCTGGTGAAAACGGGGGGCATCCTGCCGAAACTATCCTGTACAGACTTTGTCGAGAAGGATGCTGAAGCAAATGCCGAGAATTCATTCTTCCGGCCATCTCACAAACTGTTCTTCTCAATCTCCGTCTCAAACTCCTGCTGTGTCGGGAAGACTCCAAAGTACAGGTCCCGATCTCGACGGATTTCCTGATCAGTCAGCAAGATGCGACCATTCAACCATTCAAGATCGAGGCATTCTGATAGCAAATTTGCAAGGAGCTTCAATGATTTTTGGAAGTTTCAGGTGTGTCTTTGGACGACTGACGGCCAAGATCTGCCCGAGGATCTGAGAAGGAGGTCAAACACGTGGTCAGCAGTGTCTGCAGCGGGGGCTCCGCCAGCCCCAGCTTGCTCAAAAGCGTCCCTGCAAAAGAGGCCTCGGGTATGAATCCTACGACTCCGACGAGAAAGAGAAAAACGAGCCCAAGATGTTTCCAGTACTGCCGGAAACAAGGCGCAGCCCCGTAGAGGGCACGCCGCAACGGCCCAGCCGCCTCTCCGGGGCCCAATGACAGGTCCAGCAGGGCATGCCCCTCCGGTACCTGCGGAACAAGGCCGAGGCTCAAGCCTGCGAGAGTTCAGCATAGGCTTCAGCACCTGCTTCTTGGAGTAGAGGACTAGAGCCTCCGGTACGCTGCGACCGGCATCGGCAACTTCTTTCCTTAGCAGCCGGCGACGGCACAGAAAGTGCAGACATTGTCAAATTCAAAGTCAGCTTGGCAGGAGGCTGTAGAACTTCTGCCAAGACGACCGCATCCTCCAAAACTCAACATGTTGAAGAAAGTCGACACCCTTGGCCACACTTCCCTCGCATCTTACAGCTCATATCCAGATGGTATCAATGGGCTGTCCTGCAAGGCAGAATTGCAGCCCTGTCCGCTGGCACCCCCTGTGGAGTGGGCGGCATCGCCCAAGAGCACGGCCCCTTGGGGGGGGGGGGGGGGGGTACACAAAATGCAGGGATGGGGCTTTGAGTCGGAGAGTAGCGCAAGGAATGGGGCTTTTGGAATGCTCTTGGAGTTCAACTGGCCGTTCGCTAGCATGCGCCAGCCCACTTCGAGGTGGCCGAGCGACTCCCGAACGAGTAGGTGTTGCACTTGACCGTTGAGGCCCGCGAGGCCTTCGAGCATGCGGATTTGCGCCACCAACAGGCTTAGGCTTCAGGGACAAGTTGAGGGTTTTGTGACTGCAGCTTCGTAAATTCAAACAGGGCATCCCCGCGCACAAATTCTGCCTTCTGTGACACGAACTGCTTGCCAGACTCTTCATCCATGGCATCCTTTGTGGCGGGCCCTTATGCCACCCTCGTCGTGTTATCACAAAACAAGGGTTGCCAACAGCCAAGCGGCCCCGATGAGAGGGAAATAAGCTGCCAATGTCTTCTGTGCCTGGTTGAGCTGGGACGAGCTAGGCACCCTGACTTGCAACAGAGTGATTATAGTGTGTTTGGGACCGGAGGAAGAGGAGCACCCAGAAGCACACATAACGCATAAGGGCTCAACAAGGGCAGACCATCACCCCGGACCTCTTCAGGGTCAGCGAGGTCTCCGAGGCTCGGTTCCATCTTCTCTTTCTCCTCTTTGGCCTCTCGCCAGTTGATGAGGGCACAGCCTCCGCCTGACAAAGACCCAAGCTTTCTCACTAAGTCTGCAGGACAGTACTCAGTACCTCTTTTGCCAGCTCTCGGGAACTGAACACAAGGCCCACAAAAGACCGGGTCGTGTTTGCTCCAAGCACATGATGAGTGGACATGTTGGAGGGCATAGGACCTTCCATCCTTCCCTTTCACAGATGCAGTGCTTCATTGATCTACAAGGAGCGGGCGATGGGCCTAGCGGAGCTTGCTGCAGCTTGGCGATAGTGGGAGATAGCACATGATCTCATGGCAGCCACGTGGCGTGCTGTGGGCTCCACGAACGCAGAGGTCCCGCCCTTGCCCGGGATGGCATGCACGGCAGTCGGATCCAACTTCTCGGGCATCCTCGGTCTCTCTGGTCTCTGGTCCCATTCGGCTTCAAGGAATCGAGCTGCTTTGACAGCTGAGGCGCTGTGGAAATCGCAGCACCTTCAGACTGCCCGGCAGCTGCGTCTGCTCGACCTTGCCCATGGCATGGTTCAGGTTGGTTTTTTGAGCATGGGACTACGTAGGTCAGAGAGTGTCTTGTTGCAGCCGCACACAGACTCACAGATCCGTTCATTGCCTATGAAATATTCATGTCTGCGAGGGCGACGCATAAGCACCCCACGCTTATCCACCGCCGGCACGCTCCCATGCACCCCGGCAACTGAAAACGCCGAACGACCTTGACCAACCTGAACGCCCCATATTCCCCTCGTCACGCGAAGCCGCCCATCTCTCCCACTCTCTGTCCCCCCCCCCGGCTCTCTCAAACAAACGCACAGGCCAATGGCGAAGGGAACCCGGGTGCCATCCCCCGGTCTTCCAACCCAATCAAAGCAACAAGCTCAGCACTGGTGTGTGAAGCCAACCGTCTAAAACATACTCCCGTTAGAACCTTGATAAAAACATTCCCAATGTCCTCTTGGGTTTTATATACACAAAATTAAAAAAGTAACTCCCAAGGGGTCATGGTAAAGCCCCTGAAACTTTGGAGCTCGCGGCCTTGAAGCCAGGACAGGCACTGTCGATGCTGGCTCGGACTGCCTTTGGCCAGGAGGGCGCTGGTGGCATGCACATGCGCATGCGCATGCACATGCACATGCACATGCACATGCACATGCACATGCACATGCACATGGACGCACATCACGCGTGGCTCGAGGAACATCTAGTCTAGTGTCACCAGCCAAAGCGAGGCGACGGGGATTTCAAGAAGCTGTCCTGGCATGTCCTGGCCAAGGTGCTGAATTCACACCGTCACAACCTGCAATCACGTCCACTGGGGCCAACTCCTCGACCTTGTCCCCGGACTGCAGTACTGCCGAACCTCTTGTGGGGCAAGAAACATCCTGCACAACAGACCTTGCAGCCTCACCGAAGGAAGGGGTAAGGGAAAAATCGCTCATAGTATTCCCTTATGGTCTCTACAGACGAATGCTCTAATAACATCCGGAACCCTGATCTAAATTGCTAAGGCCCTTATGTTACTCCTCGTGATCCCTGGAAGTTGTTGGGACCTGAGCCTTTCCGCAAAACCGACACCGACACACCCAAATCAAGACATCGGGCCTGCGACAGGGTCTGCAGACTTCAAGAGCGTGCTGAAAGATATCTGCAGCCTCCCTGTTCCTTGGAAGAAAGGAAGGAGGTCAGCGGTTATCGATGCTTGTGGTCAGTTGAATGTAGGATTCGAGCGAACCTCCAGGGTTCAGGATGACTCCAAAACGTACCGACCACAGTTGGCTGCCGATCGCCATGTAACTCGACGGAACAGGCAACGTAAAGGCAAGGGGTACGTGCGAGGACCATCTGAAATCACGGGATCTCAGGGGCATGAATCGAAAAGGCCATTTGGTGATACCTTTGACATCGGATCCTAGGCTTGAAAGCTTGCGAGGCCGCAGGCAGGGCTACCGCCATGACTCGTAGACTCTTATGCAGACTCTGTACTCTGTAGACTCTAACTTGAAAAAGAGACCACGTTGTCATACGTTGTCTCAGCCACGGCACCCGAGAAGCAAGCCTCCAGCTCATCCAGCATTGCAGAGCAAAGATCAGACTGGTAGATCAGAAGGCTGGGCTCTAGCCCATTGTTGTCTTCCGGCGTGCGAAGGTCGATGGCCTGAGCCCCAGTCTCTGGAAGCAAGCGGCACCGGAAGAGGCACCGAAGCTGCTTCACAAGGCCCACTTGAACGTATAGGGGTATACCCCCAAAATTAGGGCTCTATCCCTAGTTCCCCTACTTATAAACCCTACTTACAAGTACTCCCCATGAAGCGCCAGTGGCGAAGGTTGGGGAGAGGTGCAGCTTGAACCGCTCACTGCCAAAGCCACTTGGCTTAATGGATGCCCAGAGCTTCTCTCCAGCTGTCCTGGGGGAAAGCTGATGGAGAGCTTCGTGCGTGCTGTCCCTCCTCTCTGTGAAAGTCCGACATCCGCCAAAGACCTCATAGAAACCCCAAAGCCTCAACTTTTTTCCTGAAAACATCCCCAAAATCATCTTCGATGATTTTCAACAACATCCTGAGGTTTCGTCCCTCACAAGTCTTTTCAGGGGGTCCGGATGGCAGTGCGGCCCCGGATGCCCAGGCCCAAGGCGTAAGCTCGGCCCTCCAAGGACTCGTCTGTCCGCGGGTCTCGTCGACCTTCGACGAGGCGCACCGATGCCCCAGCCGCCAGCAGCCGGTGCGCCAGCAACAGCCCTGTAGAGTCTGTGGAGTCTGTACAGTAACTGCAGAGGCGAAGATGAGACAAGGCAAGAAGAGATGACGATGAGGCAAGCAAGACCATGGAATGACGTGGAGAACCGGGCACGGCTCTGTAAGCTCTCGGGATAACGCTCTGGCCTGAGGGCCCTGCACCGGCGATGAGAACCGAGAGGGCAAGCCCGGGTCCCGAGCCGCTGTTTGCACCCTCGGCCCCCAAGGACCAAGAGCTTCGAGAGCTTCGAGAGCTTGGAGAGCTTGGTCTCCGCAGCTTTGCAGCATCTTTGGCTGCAGCAGTTTCGCCAAGAAACGCGGAGGCCAAGCCCAGGCCTGGAAAAGGGACTAGGGTTACTTGGGGGTTTACGATATTCGGGGGGGGGGGGGGGGGGGGGGGGGTACCTTACTGGGGTGCTTGTGATAAGGAGATGCTACTATTTGGGGGGTCCATATTGGGTCCCCTATTCTCGTAAACGCCCATATAACCTCATGACATGACATGTTCTTGTCGCTGGCGGATGCCATCGACCAACACTGCTCCATGTCCTGAGATCTTCTGAGCCTCGGGCCTAGCACAAAGCAGAGCATCGTGTCAATTCTGGACCATGGTCGCCTCCTGCCACAAGCCAACACGGCAGGCTCTTGGAGGCTGACGGGTAGAGAGACACATGATTTATATTATATAAGGTTAAACCCAACTGTAACTATACGATACTATATAAAATACGATAATATACCATAATATACTATAATATACTATAACATACTATAATCGCACCCTATGTACGTGAGACCTTGCCTGCGCCAGCGGCTCCAAGCAGCTGCCATGGGCGAGTTTTCAGGCTCAAGTTCCAGTTGTGGGCTGGGAGCCCGACAAAGCTCTCGCATGTGCAAAGAGTTGTGAAGCAGGTTATCTTTCAGTGGATCGCAGGCTCATGGTGGCACATCATGTGCAAACTCGCCTGTGCAGCGCAGGACTTGTCCCTGCCTCTCCACCAAGGTCTCACGCCATGTCTCGCGCCGCGTCAGTGGGAACACGTCGTGGGCCAGCCCAAGATCCTCCTCTGGTGGGAACCGTGGGGAATTAAGGACCCAAGCTGCGTACTGTAGCAACTCCCTAAGAAGCCTCCGTAGGAGTCCTGCTCCCCGCAGAAATAGTCTCGGAACTCACAGAAGACTCCAATTCCTGTGGGGCAGGAGCAGGAACACTCATTCAAGCAAATTGGCCAGGCCGCCAAGACGCGGTAGCCATTCTGCTTCAGTATTCGCAGGAGGTTGTGCGAGTTATCCCCCTGACAGCAGGAACAGATCGAGACTTCGGAAGAACAGCCGCGCAATGAAGTTCAGAACGGAATCCAACAGCGCCTCAAGTTCGAGGCCCCCGAGCATAGGGTAGAGGTTCTGAACCTTACGCGCAGACAGGTCTGTTAAAGATATGCCCAGGAGCCTGCACTCGACCATCCTTGCTGATGAGCAGCTGTACTGCCCCACTGGACAGTGTGAAACCAGCCTCAGCAACCCTAGCAACCCTAGCAACCCTAAACCCTAGGAACCCTAATCCCCCATGGTCACTCTGCACTCGGCGCTCTGCCTCTGCATGCCAAGTCTCCTGCTGCTCCCCCCACGTAGCCAGGGCCAGCGCGGCGCAAGGCTTGGGACGTCAAAGGTAAGAGCTCCTTCTCCGAAGTGCGTTTGGGGATTTACGAACATAGGGGGACCCCCAAAAACAGATCCCGAAATGGAAGGGTTCCCCTTTTTTCAAGGACCCAATAACACACCCCCGCATATCGCAAACCCCCATTTCAGCTGCATTCGACCATTGCTCCAAGCAAACGTGCACCCCCTGAAAAGACGGTCTCCTCCAAGGTGTGGATTGACCTCGGGCGGCAGAAGCTGAGGCAACTGGACTGCGCATGAGGCACTGGAGCATGCCACTGCCTGAAGCACTCCTGAAGTCCCTCCTCCATACCATAATATCATCGTTGCAGGGCTGGTTTTGCAGAAGACTCTTAGGATGCCCCCTTTTTCGACCGGCGCACGGAGTCTTGCGGCCCCAGCACCGCTCGGCTTGATCAGGGAATCAGGGATGCACGAAGTCCACGGCCTGATTCCTGACGGCCCTTCGGGCCCACATTGTCCTCGTGAGATCATGAACGCGTTGGTGACAGCCTCCCCCTTCGTCACGATGGCTGCTGCTTCAGGGCATGTTCAAGACACTTCATCACCGAGGTGAGCTCCACCGGTCATTCTGACATCATGACATCACAATCAGCTCGGAGCAGTCCATGGCAGTCCATGCGAATCCTCTGCACCCAGAAGCGGCTTTCAGCGCCGTGCTCAGCTCGCATTGTTTCTTGCGTAGACGTAGTACCTGAACTCCTGGCTTGAACCGGGTAGTGCTCCAGCGTGCGGGCAGATCCTCGCACTCACCGGCCGATCACATCCGTCACAGATACATCAAGCACCCCTTCACACGACCAGCGCCTGGGTAGTTCAGACCTTTAGCCAAGAGACGGCACCGGAAGGCTGGAGGTCGTGCCGGATAAAAAGACCTTAAGCTGGTTCTGAATCATTGTTGGGGTTCTTTTAAGAAGTATTATTTTGCTCCTTATTCGGAGTTTTAATATGACAAAAAATGTACAATTACAACCAACAAGACCCAGGGTTGGTCCCAGCACCCCACCCTGTCACAGAGACAGACCTGCATCGAATCCAACTGCCATTCTTGCATCAAGACACCACCAATGAGTCTCCCGGCGTGAATGCCAGGTCTCCCGCTGCAGCCTAAGGTGTGGACAGCAAAGCAAAGAAAACAAAGTAACCCAAGCAGCAGCAAAGTGTAATAACAGTGTAGCTCAGACTGTGTTGAGGCTAGTGTTTCTGTTGCCGACTGGGCTCAAGCTTCTCAGCACCTGCGATGGCCGCACATCAACCATACTCGGAACGTATGAGCCCCTTAAGTGCCCTAATATGGTTATAAGTACAGTTTTAAGTACAGTCATGAATGCCTAATAAAGTACCATGAACCTCCAAGTACACTCTTCTTGGCTAAGGTTCCTGGAATCTTCGGCCGCTGGCCTTCCGGCGAAAGACAGTAGTTCACCGTGGGCTGCGATCGCGGGATTCGAGGACCAGGGCCTTAGTGTAGATTCTTCAGGAAAGTCGCTTCCTTTCAGCAATAAGAAGAATGAAAAAATATTCGTAAGCATAGCAGAAGTCACAGCAATACAAAGTACATGTCGAGCCATATCAGCCATGTCACCATAGACTTTCAACTTCTCGGCGGCCTCGATGGCACGGAAGGCTCTCCCTCTGCCAATTGCGAGGCGCTTCCGGCCGATGGCGCAGTCTGGGCAAGGGAACCACACCTGGGATCCCTCCTCTCTAAATCTACAAGGGTGCAATGCAAAAAAAAAAAAAAAAACCTTTACCCTCCTCCTTTAAGCCCTCTTTTGAGCCCCTTTAAGCCTCCCTTTAAAGCCCTCGAAGCTCTACCAAAACTTGGTCCCAAAGCTAGGAGAGCATCGCCAAGGTAGATTGGTTTACGTGTGCTGCATGTCGGTGCTTCTGCGATTTTAAGGGGGCAGCGAGACAGACCAAGTCGTAGTCACTCTTTTTATATGCGGGGCCAGAGTCACTCTGTCAGTGGCACCTGTTGTATTGTCTAACTCCCGCCAAGATGCGTTCACAAGCAAATGCTTCGCCTCGTTCACGCTCTTCCCAGGGACCTGCCCATGCAGTTGGCATCACGTGTTCTGCCACATGGGCCAGGGCAGTGCCGGGTGTAAGGAGGCCTCGTCCAAGTGGAAGGTTGAGATTCTGGTGTTGCTGCGCTTCACATGGTTGTCTTCAAGCGGGAGGATCACCGCGGTACCCTGGAACACCATCTCCAACATGTCCTGAAACCCATCCTCAGCTTGTGAAACTCATGTGATCCCTTAGCCCCCCTCAGGTTGTCAAGCAACAAGATCATGATCTCATCCCAGCGGCACTACCACGCGTCGCAAAGTCTTTCACGGTCTGCAAGCTCAGCACCACCAAACCGTCCCGCGTCAGTAGTTGGTGCGCCACCCTGCAGAACCTTAAGCCAAAGTTGAAAGACAAGAACTCAAGATTGAGCGCAAAATACCAGGCACGTTGCTTGTATTCTTAGTCTTCTTGGAACACTGAGTGTTGTCGATGATGGTGACTATGCTCATTCCTAAGAGTAGCGCTGGCAATATGTTTTGTAGGAGTCTGGCTATGGTATCATTTTTTCCAGCCAACTGACACGCCGCCCAAACCCCTTTTGTTGTCTCGATTGTGCAATGTTCAGGCTGCTGTTGTGGCGTGGCTGCGTCCGTGTCTGTCTGTCCCTGTCTGCGTCCGTCTGTGTGTGCCACTTCCTGTCGGTCATTTAGTGGGGTGTCTTGCTCAAAGTGCAAGGAAACCAAGCAACTGTGGATTTGAGAAGGATGCACCCATGCTGGCACTAGCTGCCATGGACTCGAGGGTCATCCAGTCCTGCCAGCGCGGAGGGACAAGGGAAAGAGGGTGACTGCCGCCACTTGATGTTGGCGATTGGGCGCTCCTTGAAGGTGTGTTCATGTTGGTAGCTACCGGACTCCAACGTCTCATAGTCGAACCTCTCCGATGCCGTGGATGGGCTTGACTGCACCTGCGCCGTGCTGGTTCGGCTAATCATGACAGCCACAAGATCACGTCCTCATCTTAAGCCTCTCCCCACCCAGACAACCAGTGTGCCTGATTCTGCAGGAAGTCCCCATCCCGCGAGGACAATGCCAGCACACCGTGGACATCCTCAATTTGCCGTGCCAGGCTCTGAACTATACTTCGAGAATCGAGAGCAGCAACACCTCATCCCTAGTCGTCCCTGCCTGCCTGCCGCGCAGCCGTTAGCTGAGTGTGCTGGCAAGTGTCATCTGCAGTTCTTGCCATAAACTCCTCCTGCTTTCGCCGTTGTCGCAGCGCTCGCAAAATTAGAAAACCTGCCTGCAAGGCACCGCAAGTCCTCCTGAAGCACTGTGAACTATTTCGACTGCGCATAACTCTCATAGTTCTGGTCCAGGACACGATTGCTACCAGACCAGTTCCAGCTGCCAGGCTTACCTGCTCGTCACCCATCCCATCCTGAAGGACCAAGGCCCATAAGGCCCATGAGGTATCATGGCCATAAAGTCATGGAGGTCCATGTCTAAGTCTCGATCAGAGGCTGGTAGGTTCAGCTGCTGGTACGGAAACCCAGTCGAAAGAACACCAACCTCAAGCGACTCAAGCCAGACGACAGTCTACAGCCCGTTCCTGTTGACCTTTCTTAACTTGCCTGCAAGACCCACAGCTTCACAAAACGCGGGCTTGAAGCGTCTTGCTGGCTCACGGCTAGCCTCACCCGTGCTCGTGAGGGCAAAGCCCTTCTGAACTGCACATGCTGTCGCCGAAGCCTGGTGAATCTCCACAAGGCATGGGAAACGTGGCGGAAGCAGTCTAGCATCTCAGCTTTGTCTAGAAGAGGTTAGCATCCAGCCTGTGCCGTCCGGAATTTCGGTCCTCACAGGATGCTGCATGATCAAGGTACGTGTGACATGCCGCCTGGCAATTCCAGTTCGGACCTGAATACTTCTCCTTCGCAGGATTGATGATTAATGACATATGCTTTGGACATATGGCATATGGCATACGGCATTGGTGCTAGCATTACACATATTCAATGTACTGAGAGTCAGCGCATTTCTGTGACATCCAGTCTGGCCACGGACACGCCACGCATGCGGTGAGACATTCCTGGTGAAACGACTCACAATGTGGAAACGTGAGACGACGAACTAGCAATACCGCTCGGCCACGCGGTGGAGAATATTAACCGCCAGCGACTGACAATTATGCAACAAGCACACTGTTCATTGTCAAGTTGACATGAACCCTGACCCTACCCTGCCCTGGATGAGCAAATGGCTGTTAAACCCCTGAACCCTGAACCCTAAACCCTAAAACTACAACCTTCTGCCCTTCACCCCTAGAAGCGGTCGGTCTTGTCCAGCAGATTGGCCTGGTGACGCTGCATTGCGGCCTGTTCGCCGGCCTTCATGTCCTCCTGAGGTCACGAAGCCTATTGAGGTTTCATGATTAGGTTGGTTATGTTTGGGGTTTAGGGATTAGGGCTTATGGTTCAGGGTTTCGCCCAAGTTGTCGAACAGTCGTTCGCAGTGGGACGACCTCTACGGGCTCTTCTGCGGCTTAAGGAGTTTAAGCTTTGTTTTGCCACCCCCCCCCCCCCAAAGCAGACCTTTGGGACGTAGGGTGTAGGGTTTTCCCTGGACTGTCAACCGATGTGAGCTTGTGAAACTCCCCACGTGACAGCTGCAGTGGATTGCTCGAGGACCTAATGGGCCCGAAGTACCCAGGCGCTTCAAAAGTACTGTCCTCCTCTCATCCACTGTCTGGTTCTTTTTCACTCTCGCTTCTTCTTCGTCTTCTACTCAGCGAAGAGGCCCCCCCGAGGAGGTGAAATGGTCGGCTCCCGTGTTGGGCGTCGGAGCGTGTGAGGGCCCCCTCTCAGCTCTTCTCTCTCTCTCTCTCTCTCTCTCTCTCTCTCTCTCTCTCTCTCTCTCTCTCTCTCTTTCTTTCTTTCTTGGGGGCGTGGGGGCGAACCCCCTGGCTGTGCGCCTGCCCCGGTATTCGGGGGTCCTTGGTTGGTTGAGTTCGGGGAGACAAGGTCGGGCTTGGCGCCTATGTCTGTGTTGCCCCAGTCCTTAAGGGTCCTTAGTTCCCCCCCCCCCTAAGCCTCGCGCCATTCCCTTCCGTTTCTCTCCCCGACGGGCATCAGCTAGCATGCGAACTGCCGGGGCCTTTCGGAGTCTAGTTCTGCGACATTAAACCCCCAGATTCCCCTACACGGTTTCGTAGCCTCCGGAGTTCAGTGCAGTGAAACGAGTTAGCCTTCCGTGGTCTCAAACAGGCTGGCCCCCTAAACTCCCCAAAGCAGCCCCAAATCAACTCGAAGCCCTAACCTGGAAGTGGAACTTGAAATTTCCCAGCCCCCACAACGGCTTACTCTCTCTACTTTGCTGTGCTATGGCCCCGTGCGAGGGTAGACTGGGTCCCCCCTTATAATGGAAACTCCTACTGCTAGTGCCCCCCGTCTTCAGTCAACCCCCGCATGGGCTCGTCTACGCCTGTGCTCCTCTTCTCTCTCTCTCTCTCTCTCTCTCTCTCTCTCTCTCTCTCTCTCTCTCTCTCTCTCTCTCTCTCTCTATTTCTTTCTTTCTTTCGTTGGGGCATGGGGGTGACCCCCCGCGCAGGTGCGCGCCCCCGTCCGTTTCTCTCTCTCTCTCTCTCTCTTTCTCTCCCTCTCTCTCTCTCTCTCTCTCTCTCTCTCTCTCTCTCTCTCTCTCTCTCTCTCTCTCTCTCTCTCTATTTCTTTCTTTCTTTCGTTGGGGCATGGGGGTGACCCCCCGCGCAGGTGCGCGCCCCCGTCCGTTTCTCTCTCTCTCTCTCTCTCTTTCTCTCCCTCTCTCTCTCTCTCTCTCTCTCTCTCTCTCTCTCTCTCTCTCTCTCTCTCTCTCTCTCTCTCTCTCTCTCTCTCTCTCTCTCTCTCTCTCTCTCTCTCTCTCTCCTGCACGCATAGCCCCCCCCGAAGGGAAGGCCGCCCCGAGGGGCGCGCGATGTCCGAGGGTCCGTCTGATCGGAAGGTCCGCGGTTTTCGCGGCCCGATAAAGTATCACAGGAATGTGGTGCCCCTCATGCCCACCGGTGTACGAACTCCAAAGGACCTGCAACCTTCAAGCCCCATCCCCCCGAAGCCCCCAAACTGTTGAGGTTTCCCACTCTGTACTTCCTGTGTCGTCTACTGTACGTAGCAGGGTTGCTTCAGTTGTTTGCCCCGCTCATCTACTTTGCCTGGCCAGGGGTTGTGGCTTTCCTCGTTGTAAACCAGGAGTAGAGGGCAAGACAAAGGTGCTATCCAACTCTTATCACACTTGAGGTCCCCCACTCGGTGCCCCCTTTCTGGCCGGCGTTGTTGTGTTACTCTAATCGCTGCTCGCCCCTTCATGTGTTCTTCTTCTTCTCGAGTCGTGATCTTGTAGAGGGGAATCGCGGCGTTGTAGTCCCCCATATGCTCTCGTTCTCCCCTCTTCTGACGTTTCACTTCTCGGCGAGGAGAGCTCCTCTGTAGGCTCGCCTTGCCCGTGCCCTCCAGGACTGGTGTGGTGGTGGTGTGACGGTGGGTGCGGTGGGTGTTGTGCATCGTCGGTGGTGTTGGTGTGTGGTTTATGTGGTGGGGGGTGCCAGGGGAGGGTGTCCGGTGTGGGTATTTCGTCCGGGGTGGCTCCCCTGTTTGCGTGTCAATGAGGTAGATGGGCTCCCCGCATCTGTTGGTTAGCCATTCGTCGAGTGCTTGCATGGCTTGGGTGGCCATGACCGCCTCTTGCTGGATCAGGAATGGGACCAGCTGTGCAAGTATCTGGCGTGCTTGGACGATGTGTTCATCGTGGGTTGGTGGTGGTGGTTGTTGTGGTCTGTTCGTGTTGTCTTCCACCCCTCCTCTGCTAAGTTCCAGGACATCTGCTGGGTGGGTGGCTTGTTGATGTGTTGGTGTTGCGTGGGTGGCGGGTGCGTGTGGTGGTGTGGGATCACCCTGGGGGTTTGCGTGGGGTTGGGTTGGTGGCTGGGACCACTGGGGTGCTTCGATGACGGCTTGGTGTGCGTCTCGTGCTTGTTGTGTGTGGGTGAGTATTTCCCTGACTTGCGTTTGCAGCCTTTGTTGTTCTTGCCTGGGGTGTGAGTCAGGGCCCCCCCCAGGGACTTTGTTGAGCTGCTGCAGGAGCGCTTCTGTGAGTTCCAGCCCCACTTGTGCTGCCACCTCTCCCCCCCCCATGTTTGCCAATCCAATCGTCCACTCTGGCGACTTGTTCCATCCGGTGGATGCCCCTGCGGATGAGCTCTGCTGCTGTGGCTAGGGTGTGTGTGAGCTGCCAGTGGTCTGTGGGTTGGTCTCCCTCCAAGATGTGTTGGAGCTGTCTGGCTGCTTCGTCAAGTTCTATGGCTCTGGTTGTGTGGTGCTGGTGTGGTGTCCGTGTTCCCGGTTTCTGTGGTGGATGTCCGGTGTGGGCTTGTGTGGGCCGTGGTTGTTGGGTTGGCGTGGTGGCGCTCTGTTTTGTCGGTGCGTTGGTGCGACTCGCAAGGTCCCCCCCGGCTGCTTGCAGGATAATTCTGCATTCGTGCAGGTGAGCTGCCACATCCGTGCCGTTGCTTGGGTTGACCTCTGCCAGTGCTTGGTCGATGTGGTGTAGTGCTTGTTGGCTTGGTGTCATGCTTCTTATGTCCAGCGGCGGGGAGCTTGTTTGTGAGGGTTGGTCTGGTGGCGTGTGCTTGCCTTTCCTCTGCACCCGTCTTTTTCTGGTTGTTGGCTTTGGTTTGTGGCTCGGTGGCTTGGTACTGTGTGGTGTGGGCTTCTGGGTCCCTCTGTTGAGGGTTTTGCTCGTGCGTTGTACCAGGGCGGGGGAGTCAGTGTCGTGTGTGGCTGTTGTGTTGGTGGCATCCGCGGTGGTGGTGGCCGTGTTGGTGGTGTTATTGGCGGTGTTGGTGGTAGTTGCACCGGTGGTGGTTGTGTTGGTAGTCGTGGCAGTGGTCGTGGTGGTGGTGGTTTGTTGTTCTTCGTAGTCTCGTCGTTCTCTCCACCATGCTTGCCAGTTGTCCCACCACCATGTGTTGTTCTGCTGCTGCTGGTCGGAGTTGGCTGCTGCAGTGGGCACCGCTGGCCGTGCTGTGTTTGGTGTGGTTTGCTGTGGTTGCTCTTGCTGGTGTTCCCCTTGCTGGTGGGGGTGTGGTCGTTGCCACGATCCTTGGGTGTTGGCAGTGGTTGCGGTGGCTGCTCCCGTGGTCGCTGTTGGGGCTGCTGGTTGCTGTTGGTCTTCGTGTGGTGCGGTGTGCGGTGGCTGGTTTGGATTTGAGGGTGTCGGGTTGTGGTGGGTGTTTGTTGCTTGCGGGGGTTGGTTCGCGTCGGAGCCTGTATGGCTCTCTCTCTCTCTCTCTCTCTCTTACTTTTTGTTTTCATGAATGCCATCAGTCTCGTAGATGCTCGCGCGTGTATGCTCGAACCGGCCAAACAACATGCTGATCTGCACAAGGAATGCAGCACGCAGTGTCCTGTGCCTGGTGGCACAAAAACCTAGATCCTCGGTATCCTGTTTCCCACGTGCACACACACACCCACACACTTACTTTTGGAAACCCCCGAAGGGCCCGAAGGGCTTGCTAGAAGGTTACAATCACGGC